TACCTATGAAAGTACAAGAAACTTATGGAACACTAAATAGACTAGAAGGAAAATTCCAGTTCAAGGAAATTGGCTATTTCCACGAAAACACTGGCAACAGATAATTCCATACCAGCAAATCCCTAAGAAGAGAAACATAAAATAGTACCACCTCCAGTAAAACAAAAATAACAGGAAATAGCAATCAATGGTCATTATTAACCCTTAATATCAACAGACTTAGTTCACATATAAAAAGACGCAGACTAACAGAATGGATACAAAAGGAGAATCCCTCCTTCTCTGCATAAAAGAAACACACCTCAACTACAAAGGCATAAACACAGACCGGTGGACTAATGGAATCACATTGTAGATGCTGACATCATTCCACACAGCTATGAACACCTGATTTTTGACAAGAAGCTGAAAGTATTAACTGGAAAAAAGGAAACATCTTCAATAAATGGTGTTGGTACAACTGGGTATCTACATATAGAAGATTGCACATAGATACATATCTATCACCATGCACAAAACATAAGTCCAAATGCATCAAAGACGTCAACATAAAATCAGTCACATTAAACCTCATAGAAGAGAACATGGGAATTAGCCTTGAATGCATTGACTCAGGAGACCACTTCCTAAATATAACACCAAAATCACAGACACTGAGAGCAACTGTAATGAGCATTACTCCTGCCAGCTTGGTCCCACAGTCACACCAACCCCAAATAACACACAGAGACTCTATTAGTTACAATGCTGTTGGCCAATATCCAGGGCTTCTCATTGGCTGGTTCTGTCTTAAGTATTAACCCATGACTACTAATACATATATTTCTATAAGGTCTTATCTTACTGAGAACACCAGATTTGTGCTGAGATCACATGGTGACATTCTACTCCTTACTACACTTCCCAGAATCCTCCTCGACTCCTAGTCCCACCTATCTTGCTTCCTATTGACCAACAGTGCTTTATTTATCAACCAATAAGACAAACATTTACACATGAGGCCTTCCCCCAACAATGAATAAATGGGACCTCCTGAAACTGAGAGGCTTCTGTACAGCAAAGTACATAGTCAACAAGACAAAAAGGCAACCTACAAAACAGGAAAAGATCTTTGCCAACCCCATATTTGACTGAGTACTGAACTCCAAAATAAACAATGAACTCAAGAAACTAGACATCAAAAGACCAAATAATTAAAAAAGACATCTAAGGAAAGGCTCAGCATCCCTAGTCATCAGTGTAATGCAAATCAAAACAACTCTGAGTTACCATCTCATACCTGTCAGAAGGGCTAAGATTGAAAACACTGACAACAGCTTAAGCTGGAGAGGATGTGGAGAAAGGGGAATACGCCCCCATTGCTGGTGGGAGTGCAAACATGTCAGTAGCTTTAGAAATTAATATGGTGGTTTCCTCAGAAAATTGGTAATCAGTGTTGCTCAAGTCCCAGCAATACCACTTTTGGGCATATTCCCAAAGGATGCACACTTATACCACAAGTACATTTGCTCAACTATGTTCATAGCAGCATTGTTTGTGATAGCCAGAACCTGGAAACAGCCTAGATATCCCTCAACTGAAGAATGTATAAGGAAAATGTACATTTACACTACGGAGTACTACTCACCACTAAAAAACAATGACATGTAGAAATATGTAGGCAAATGGATGGATTGAGGAAAAGCCATCCTGAGTGAGGTAACCCAGATCCAGAAAGACAAATATATTATGTACTCACTTATAAGCCGATATTAGACAGAAAGTAATGGACAACCCCAGAGGATCTAGGTACCAAAGAGGACCCTAAAAGAGACAGACATACATGGATCTGCCTAGGAAGGGAAATAATACAAGATCTCCTGAGTAAATTGGGAGTGTGGGGAGCATGGGGGAGGGTGGAAGGTGAAAGGGGAGGAGGGAAGAGATGTGAGAAAAAAATAGTTGTGTATCTCAATTTTAAAAATTATAAAATATATATATTTAGAGTTTTATTTTATTCCCACTCATTGTGTAAAATCCCAATTTCATAGCAAGGTTTTGACAAGCCATCTTTATGTGGGCTCACTCACCACTGAAGTTTTATGCAAAGTCAACTCGTACAAGTATTTTGTTTTCAAATCTCATGATGGACTTATCTTGAGGCTGAAATGTTGTTTCTTATTCCCATGTATTTGCTAGGGAATTCCCCTCTTAACACCATCTTTCCTAACTTTCTCACCAAACAATTTCTATCCAAAAGTGGGTAGGCTCTATCTCTTCTCAGAAGATTATCCTGAAGCTTCTCTGTTTGTTTCTGTAGCATCTGACCTTGCTGTGTCCTTTGTTAACAGTCCTGTTTCACTAGCAACAGATTTATAATCACAAAAGAGTTGTACACTCATATTCTTCTCTTTATTGCAATCATTGGGTATTTAGGAGGTGTGCAGTGAATATTGGCCAAATAGACTAGCAGTGATGACTGTGTATATCAGTATCTCTGCTAAAATGAGAAGACAAGAATGTTCCAAGCCACAAAGAATGGTTTTCCCAAGTCATCACATCTGTACCTTGTGCTTAGAGGACTGGAGTGAGAACACTTGACACAGCCTTTGGAAGACACTAGGGTTCCTGCACTGCACCTGCAGGTGATAAACTGGATTACTTACTATGGAAGTCATGGCATCAGGGATGTGCAAATCAGGTGCAAATTGGAAAGGGAAAAAAAAACAACATCTGTTATAGCAAGTTGAATTCAAGTAAGACTGTTAAAACAATGTAGGTAATAAGGCAAAGTAAGTGAATGAACAGTGTTAGGTTTCTGGCATTCATTTTTCAGCAACCAGAGTGAAGATTTTACTAATATTAAAGAAGAGACCAGAAAACATAATAGAGGAAAAATGGAAAAGATAAAAGGAAATTGGAGATTTTTAAACATTTTGAGTTAAGATTGTTTACCAATAAAGAAATGTATAGGACAACTTTTAGGGGGTAACATTTTGCAAATTAAATTGAAGAATGAAAGTCATGGTAGTCCATGCCTGAAAACTCAGCACTTGGGAGGCAGATTGTGAGTCTCCTATCATCCTGAATTACATAGGGAGACCAGGTCTCATATACAATCACTCCTGGGCACAAATAAAATGATTTGAATAGCTTTAAAATTGTTTTAATGTTTTGTGATTATAAATAAGTACATCATTCCCCCCATTCCCTTTCCTACAGTGGTTCTCAACTTGTGGCTCTCAAATTCTTTCGGTTGAATGACCCTTTCACAGGGGTCACCTAACACCATTGGAAATATCAGATATTTACATAATGACCCATTAGCAGTAGCAAAATTACAGTTATCAAATAGCAGCAAATATGGATCTCAGCATTAGGAAGGTTGATAAACTGCTCCAAGTCATCCCATGTACCACCTGCTTTCAAATTCTTGGCCTCTCTTTCTTTTTCCTGTTGAATACCTTTTATGATCATCATATACATGGTGTGTATGTCATGATAGGTAGCATTACTCTTTGCTTCTGCTTGGGGTTTGACCTTGGTTTTATAGTGTGGGGCACATCTATAGACATGCACTTAGCTGACAAGTTGAAAACCTGGCCATGTTCTGATAATATTGTTGTCAAGTTAGTACTGTTAAAAAGTATGAAAATTTTTTGTAAAGAGCGACTTCCTTCACTTAATTTCCTATCTGTCTTCAAATTGCTTGAGAATGAGTGATAAATGGTGGCAGACAGCCTTAAATTGAATATCTTATGTTCAAACTAGAAGTGTAAGGGCAATTTGAATTGGAAATAAGGATTTTTAAAATTCTAGAATAAAAATATGTTCAAAGGAACAGCATAAAAGCCAGTCTCATTTTTTGCAAGATTTTTCAGAATGCTGTTTCTGTGAACAAATCTAATCCTATCTGACATGGATGCAGAGTAAATGTCAGTTCACTGCAAGAATGACAGTAGTAGGCACAAGTTAAGTTTTGTTTTTGACACGAGTATTTTTATTCTCTTATTTATTCTGTCACATTGCATAACACACTCTGCTCTGAAAACATTCTGCAACAAAGCTGTGCTTTAGTCAGCCCTTTTTGGAAATAAAATTCAGGAAAGGTTAAGTCAAAGTGACCATTTTGGGAAAATACATCGTTAATACAGTGAGATTTACTGTCAGGTTTTGTTACTACTCCCTAGTGCTCTCTTGGTTAATTTCGTCATCATCATCTTCTTCTTCATTTTCCTCCTCCTCCTCCTTCTTGTTTAGATCAGTATTTTCCTACAACACACCCAGAGAAGTGATTCTTGTCCTTAAAAATACATTATTTTCTTTTGTCACTGAAAACAAATATGAGAATAAAATAGGATCTGGTGAATGATTCTGAAAATTGTGGTCTGGCTTTTTGGTTATCTTTTGCTGTTGTTGTTGCGGCATGTTGTGTTTGATAATTCTTGTGTTTGATAGTTCTTGTGTTGTACAAACAGACTCGCTTTTAGAGCAGGAAGTAAAGTATCTGGCAGTGTGACCTTTATCTTTGTTCGGAAAGGAGTTGGTACGAAGATGTCCTAAGTGACAGCATCACTGTGTGGGCAAGCATTTTTTGTCAGGTAAAGTATCAGATGTGTGTGGGGGGGTAATAGTATCTAGGGTTTCAAACAGCGGCCTCCTGTAGCAGATACTACTGACCTGCCTGTCACTGCCTCCCTCAGAGCTGCAGACTCTCCAAGGTAGTTTCTCTCTTCTTTACCCAAGGGTTCCTTTGGCCACTGAAACAACTGTGTCAAGCGATTTGGGTTAGAAATCTGAAGGACTTAGTGCTTCTGGGAGCTGCACTTGGCAAGTGACTAAAGACAGTTGGTGTGAGAACTACCAACACTGCCACCTTTAAGTGTGATGCTACTGAAGTGTGCTCGTTATTGGGTGTCAGACTTCCACTATAAGATGACAATGTGGTCGCTGTTGGTGTCACTGCAGCTGATAATTGAACTGTCACTGTATTCACTTTTCTCTCTCCTGCTGTTTTCTAGGATCAACTCCCAGGTAAATCTAAAAGAGAGCTGTACCCCGGGTTTGCTGATGTAAGCTAAACTAATACCTTACACCTGACATCATATTAGACATTTTTTATCATGGCGAATAAAGAAGATTTCCAAAGAAGACTATGTGTAAGATGGATAAACTTTTAGAATATTTAGATAGCAAATAGGAATGAATTATTTGCTATTGTCTATCACTGGAGACTAACATATGTGCCAAGGTGTTTGTTTCAATCTTATGGTGGAGAGCAGGGCCAGAGAGTTAGATATGAATTTCCTCTTTTTGGAAGAATGATTCTGTGTTTCATCAAGAGGAAACTATTCTATGCAGTGTCCTGCTACTATGTGAATTTATTTCAGACATATACTTGAGATGACTGAATTAAGTAACAGAAAATAATTTGTAGTTTTATGACTACCTGGAAATACTATTTTATTTGTTCTCATGGGCAAAACCTCCAGTTTAACCACTGATTGCTCTTGTTCTGACTGTAGTGCAACAATGAACTATGGATAAATAAAAGCTAAATGTCTTCCTCCAATAGTGGGAGTGGAATGAACAGGAAAGCAAATCATAATGAATCCTATACGGGCTTCGTGCATCTAATTTGCTAAGCCTCTGTAGGGCTGACGGAAGAGTGGTGTATATTGTCAACTGTGATATGATGGTAGCACATTTATAAGATACCAATTGTCATCTATCAAGTTTGTTATTTGGCACTACCTAACAATTTGTTTTATTATATACTATGTTTTATTATTGTTTCCCTGCTATACCTGGTAACTTTCTAAACATCTAAAAGAAATATAAGTTCTTGGAGAAATAATGTAACCTCTACAGTAAAATACACATAAATACAACTACCAGTTATTTCTACTAACACTCACTATAATTTAGTTTTTTTATGTGTGATTCTACTTGATAGAAGAGAAAGTGATGAAATGAAAATTCTGAAGACAGCTGTGTTGTGGAAGCTGTAGAAAACCCAGGGCCTGCATGCAATTTCATATGTTCTGAGCTTGCTTAGGTTAAAGTGTTTGCTTATATATGGTCCTTCACTTCCAAAGAGGTGTAAAGCTATACAATGGCTTTATTTTGTAAAATATTTGAAATTAGGACCTGAGAGATTGTTTTGTCAAGAGTCTGTGTTTGAACACCAAAACCCATGTTAAAGCAATTGGGGGTGAGGGGACATGCTTGCAATCTTAGCACTAGAAGATGGAGGGTGGAATAGAAATGGATGGATCCCTAGGGTTTTCCGTCCAGCCAGTCTGCCTACCTGGTGAGTTCCAGATGATAACTTGCCAGAAATTCAGCCCTTCTTTATGCCCTCATATTTTAGCCTTTCTTGTTCTTTGCTGCATGACAAACTGTACCACATACACATATTGCCTAAATCCTGAACATGAGAGAGAACATTCAGGTTTTTTCCTTTATGAGATTGTGTACTCTTGCTTAATAGTATTGATTGTAAACACATTTGTTTCCCGAAAATTCCTTAACCTTATTTTTCTTTAAAATTAAATAGTATTGTAAAACACACACACACACACACACACACACACACACACACACACACCAGATTTACATGCGTATTATCCATTTACTTGCTGATGGATAATGATGTTATTTCCATTTCTTTGTTATAGTAAATAAAAGCAGCAATAATCATAGAGGATCGGATATCTGTATGATAGTATATGGAGACTCTGAGTATATTGCCAGGAATGAAGTAGATGGGTTATGTGTTAGATCTACTTTTATTATTTTGTTGTTGTTTAATCTCCAAACTGATTTCCACAATGACTGTATTAATTTACACCTCCAATTAGTGGTTCCCTTTTTTCATGTCCTTTCCAACATTTGTTGTCAGATCTGTTGATAACAGCCATTATGGCTAGATTAAGGTGATATCTCAAATTAGTTTTAATTTGCATTCCCCTGATGGCCAGGGATGTTGATCTTACTCCCTCTCCCTCTCCCTCTCCCTCTCCCTCTCCCTCTCCCTCTCCCTCTCCTTCTCCCTCTCCTCCCTCTCCCTCTCCCTCTGCCTCTCTCTCTCTCTCTGTCTCTCTCTCTCTCTCTCTCTCTCTCTCTCTCTCTCTCTCTCTCTCTCTCTCTCTCTCTCTCTCTTTAAGAGATAGGGTCTCTCTGTGCAGCCCTGGCTGTTCTTGAATTCACTAGGTAGGCCATAATGACCTGAATTCACAGAGAACTTCCTGCTTCTATCTCCACAGTTCTGGGATTAAAGGAATTTGCCATTACACATGGCTAGATATTAAATAAGTCTTAAAACAGATATTGACCTTCTTTCTTTCTCCCTCTGTATCTCTTTCTTTTCTCCCCTCTCCCTCTTTCTCTGTCTCTCATCTATCCTTCCTTCCATTTTTTTTGGAACTATCTTTTCAGTTCATTTGCCCATTTATTTATTGGAATTTTTTTCCTTGGTACTTAATTTAAGCAATTCTTTAAGCAGTGGGTTCTGGACATCAGCCCTTGTCTGAAGTGTGGCTGGCAAAGATTTCATCCCATGCTGAAGGCTGTCTGTGTGCCCTGCTGACTGTCCTTTGGTGTACAGAACCTTGTATTCATGGAGTTCTGTCTGGGGTTAGTCCCTGTGCTGTTGTGTTCTATTGGAAAGTCTTTAGCTATCCCACTGTCTTTCATGGTTTCCCCATGTTTTCTTCAAATTTTCAATGTTTCAGATTTTAAATTAAGGTCTTTGATTCATTTTGAGTTGATTTTTGTACAAGGTAAAATATATAAAGCTAATTTCATCTTTTGCAGATAGAAATTCAGTTTTGCCAGTATCATTTGTTGAGTAGGTTTTTTCTTCTTTTCTTTTTCCAAATACATTTTTGCTTCCTTTGTTGAATTGCAGTACATTTAGCTTTGCTATTTTATTTCCAGGTCCTCTATTCTAGTCCATCAGTCTATCTGTTTATTCTGATGACAGTACCGGATTGTCTTTATCACTGTAGTATAATTTGAGGGCATTTTGCAATGCCTCCAGTATTGTTCTTTATCCTTAGGATTACTTTAGCTATTCATGATCTTTTGTCATTCCAAAAGTGCTTGTTTGTCTTATATAGACATGTGGAATATGACATGATAATTTTGATAGGCAATGCATTGACCCTGTAAATAAATTTTGGAACCATAGCTATTTTAATAATAGTAATTCTCCCTGTATAGAAACATGAAATATTTTTCTATTGTCTACTACCTTCTATAACTTCCCTTTTCAACATCTACAATTGTAGAAGACTTTTACTCCCTTGGTTAGATATATTCCTAAATACTCAATATTGGGGAAGTTGTTTTGAATGGAAAATTTTTCCCAATTTCATTCTTGTGGAGTAGACTGACAGTATATATTAAAGCTACTTTTTTATACGTTGAACTTTTATACTTCATTATTAGGTTTATTACATCTAAGAGTTTTCTAGTAGACTTATTACTAGAGTATAGTAGACTCTAGTAAACCTTAAGTAAAGAATCATGCTAGCTGCAAATTGAAAGACTTATTTTTGTTCCTATTGCTATCCTTTTATGTCTTTCTCTTGTCTAATTGATATAGCTAAGACTTCTAATACTATATAGATTAAGAGAGGGCAGAGTGGGCATCCCTGTAGCCTTATTTTTTATTATTTTATGAAAACAGTTCTGTGGCATACATATATACCTCTGTTGATATGTTGATCCATACATTAGTAAAAGTCTATTACTGATACAATGATTATAGTGTTTAAACAGCTTTTCAATTCCTATTTTTTAATTTATCTGCAGATATGTTAGTTAATGTGATAAAATTTTCATAAGTTTTTCAGTCATTACTGTTTTGTCATTCAAATTTTTGATTAGTTTTGAAATTGCTTGTTCAGTCATTACTGTAATAATTTTCCTAACAAAATCTAATTTAGAAGGAAAAATAATCTCACAATTATGATCATGAATTTCAGTTGTAAACTGTAGCTTTTCTTTGATTTATAAAACAAATACATTTTACATTTCTTTATCTAAACAACTCCAAAAGATCAGTGAGCATTATACACATACCCAATGTTTCTGTACCATTTAAAAGACACCATTCATAATTGCTAGGAAGTATAAATTTATTTGACAGCTGTTTATTCAAAACTTAGTAGTACATTAACCCTAACCACCACTATGTTTATATATAATGGAAACGATGGTGATTAGGGACAGAAAAGCATGGCTCACTTTTGTTGAAATGCAGCACAAGACTAAAGAACACATCCCAACAATGTTGGTGTAGGAAGGAGGTATCCAGTGCCTGCAAAGAACTTAAATGAAAAGTTACTTGAGGCTCAGATTTGCAGGAATGCTTCTTGATCAAATGAAGTGATGTTGTTTTTTGCTGCTTGTGTGAACTGAATGGAGATTCAGCTTGCCACAGGTATAGACCTGGCAAAGCACATGATACAGTACAGCATTAGAAGAGCAGTGGGAAACACCTTCTGCTCTCAGGATCTGTGACTTCAGCATGTGGAAGTCATAATGTCAAGAGGACCGCTACAGGAGAAGCAGAGTATCTGCCCTGGCTTTAAGAATTTTAATCTAGAAATTAAATATTCCTTAGACTATGAAGAAAAAGCAGTGTTAAAGTGGACAAAAACTAAAGGGTGTGGGGCCCTTTTCATAGTAGTCACTACTGGTAACAGTCTGGGGTCAGAGATGCACCATGACTATGCATACATTTCAATAAGAAGAGGCCTTTTATTTAGATACTGGTGTTCAAACTTGGTGCCAGGTCTGTATCTAAGAATGATTCCAAAATGCAGCACTTTGCCCTAGCAACCTAGGGTTTATAAAGTCAAAACACACAAAGTTAAAATTTTTGGTCTTGCAATCGTCTTTCTGAACAGACTAAGCAAGTTAACCATTAGTCTTGTGATCTGCTATCTTGTAAAAACAGCAAAATTTACAAGTTCATCATTACAGTAGTCTGGGGATGGGGTCTGACCACTTTTGTGTGTGTTGAGGGGGGCTTACAACTGTTAAGCTATAATGTTTTCTTTTGTGTTTGTCCCCAGCATACATTAATAACATTACAATATAAAACATTCCAACTTTTTAAAGTATCCCCGTCTATGTTTTAAAATTC